TGAACTAAGATAGCCATTCAAATCGGATTTCATGGAGCCCCGAAAACCTCTCAGATCCACCGCGCGGCTTTGAAACGGCATCCGCGGCGGTGCTCTAAAGTGCGTCGACCCACACCCCACCTCCGTCGCCTTCTTCCTAATGGCGGTGTCGAAGAAATCGAACGGCTCTCTGGCGATGACATTCTCAAGCACACACTCGGGAACATTGAGGCGGGTGTAGGGACCCCGGAGGTGGAAGACGTCCGTGTCGTAGGCCAACGTGGCAGCGACAGGGGAAGTGTAGGATCTTGGAGCGCTTGTTGAGTTCCTGGATCCCGGAGACCCATTTACCCCACTTATTCGGATCCCTCTGAACGGCTTCTCCGGTAGCTGCCGATGTAACTTCCTCTTCGCTAGCGGCTTAATCTGAACGGAGCTTGAAGACGACGTGAAGGAGGTCATCAATTTTGATTCCGGTCATCGAAATAGTGTAGGCCAGTGGATCTAGTCAAAATCTGCTGATTTTGGGGGAATTGAAGTTGTTGGAATTCATATTCCTGCCGAGGTCAAACGACGTCTCCGGCGGCTGTTTCTTCGGTGATTTCGGGTGACATTAAATTCACGACGGCGGGCACTTTAAAATGTTGCAGAAGCATAGGGGGTAAGGAATATAAGATAAAATTTAGAAATAAATGGAGGAAAAAATTGGTAAATTTAATAAAATTACGAGGGTATTTTAGTAACTTCCCACATATATATCAATTTATGAACCAAATCTTTATGGGGGTTTGGGAAAATTTCGGTTTGAGGGTTTTTATTTGAATTTAGAGGTGAGTTTGGATTTTGATGTTTATTTTGTGTTTAGGTTTGGTTTGGGTTTGAGGAGTTTTGATATGATTGATTTGATGAGTAATAAATATAATAATATAAATGTATATTAATTTGTATAATTTAATTATAAATTTATATTATATATATTTCTAAATTTTTATTTATCTATATTATAAAAAAAATTATTCTCTAAAACAATGACATATATATATATGGTATATATTTTATTAAATTATACATATTACAACAATTTTAATTTATATTTATAATTTAAATTAAAAAAACAGGAGCATCCTGTCCCCCACTGTTTGCACAGTGATCCAAACCTGGGCGCTGAAGAAACACACTCTCTGTCATTTCGATCCTTTTTGTTATTCCTGTTGTAGTATCTAAAAACTTGAGTTAATCCCTTACATAATTAGGTATTTGGTGCGCCATTGCTAATGTAAGTTTTAAGATCGATAAATGGAAATCGACAAAACGGTACAAAGGAACTAAGGGTGTGTTTATTTTTGGGATTTTATCTCGAATTTTACTATTTCAACTTTCTTTTTTCTCTAAAAATATCAAATCAAACACAAATTTTTTCTTTATTTTATTACAATTAAATCTAATTTCACATTCAGAATTCACATCAATACATATTTATATCATATCAAACAATTATTTCAATTTTTTTGATAGGATATTAGTATATAATATGGCACTATCGATATATATCAAACTACCAAAATTATTTCGGTATATAACAAATAAATATATATATTACGTTGATATTTTAATATTTGATATAAAATATACAATATAACATACATTGACATAATAGATAATATTTATTTTATATTCATAATTCAATACAAAATATTACTACATTATTTATTTACTTATATATTCATACTTAACATAAATACATTCTAAACAAAAAAAAATAATAAACAAATACATTCTAAATATATTGATTTAATTGTTATTAGATTGGTTAATTATTTTCTTTTATAAAAAATAATATAATTGGATAGGCCAACGTTGACATGTTGTGGGACGGATAGAGCATAAAATATTCAGAATGTTTTAATTTTTATTTACTATTTCACTAAATAAAAAACAATTAAATCATTATAAAAATTAATCAAACTAATTAATTATCTAATACATAGGAAGGTGATAGTATATATATATATATAGTATATAGTACTTCCGCTCCAGTTAAATTGTTTACCTAATGTAAATATACAAATTCAAATAAAATATAATTAATAAGTAATTAATAAATATATCAATAAAATAACTAAAGGTAAACTGTTTTTTTAGTCCCGTAACTGGATCCTTTATCATTTTAGTCTCGTAAGTAGAGCCTGTCGCAAACTAGTCCCATAAATGAAAACTTTTCGCTGTTTTAGTCCTCCGGCGCCGGAGACGCCCGCGTGGCTCGCCGGAGGTGACGTGTCCGCCAGGTGTCCCGCCAGGTCAGTGACACCTGGCGAACACGTGGATTTATTATTATTTTTTAATTTTTTTAAATTTTTTTAATTTTTTTAATTGGACCAAATAATAAAAATACAAATAAAATTAAAAATAAGTTTTAAAAAAATTTTAAAAATGAAGAAAAAAAATAAAAAAATCCACGTGTCCGCCAGGTGTAGCTGACCTGGCGGACACGTCACCTCCGGCGAGCCACGCGGGCATCTCCGGCGCCAGAGGACTAAAACAGCGAAAATTTTTCACTTATGAGACTAGGTTGCGACTGACTCCACTTACAGGACTAAAATGATAAGGGGTCCAGTTATGAGACTAAAAAAACAGTTTACCCAATAACTAATGTATACTAAAAATAAGGGAAAAAATTAATTTTGGTCCCAATATAACCAAAATTGATAAATTTTGGTCCCAATATAAAAAAAAACTCATCAATTTTGGTCCTAATACAACCAAAATTTATCAATTTTGGTCCAAATATAAACAATTTCAATCAATTTTGGTCCCATTATAAATAATTTCAATCAATTTTTGTCCTACCGTTAGAAAACTAACGAAAATGCTGATGTGGACATGATGGAGGTGACGTGACAGTTGACCTGAAAAGTACACAACCATGTACAATTATACACGACCATGTTGTTACATGGTCACGTATATTTCAGTTTATAATTATACATGGTCATGTTGTTATACGGCCATGTACAATTATACACGGCCATGTATATTTCTATTTTAGTTAAAAAATTTATTTTTTTGTTATATTTTTTTTTTTAAAAAAAAATTATTTTGAATTTAAAATAGTTGATATAGTTAAAATAGACAAAATCAATATTAATTATAATATAATTAAAATTTATCATTTTTAATTCAAATATAAAAATTTATAAGATATATTCTTTTGAAAAGTTTTGTCTAAAATTTTATTATTCATAAAAAAAAAAATTCTCTTACAAACATCCAATTACACAACTATTTTTTAATTTTGTATATTATAGTATTATTAAAAATTAATTTATTATTTCAATACATTAATTGGATGTTTGTACGAGAAATTTTTTTGCTAAATAGTAGAATTTTAGAAAAAATCTTCTAAAAGAACATACTCGATAAATACTTATATTTGAACTAAAATTGATATATTTTAATTATATTATGATTATTATTGATTTTTTTTTCATTTTAACTATATCAACTATTCTAAATTAAGAAAATAATAAAAATAAAAAATATAACAAAAAATTAAAATTTTAAACTGAAACAGAAAGATACACGGTCGTGTAGAATTATACATGGCCGTGTAATAACATGGTCATGTATAATTATACACTGAAATATGCATGGTCATGTAACAACATGGTCGTGTATAATTGTACATGGCCGTGTAACAACATGACCATGTATAATTATACACTGAAATATACATGACCCTGTAACAACATGACCTTGTACAATTGTACATGACCGTGTAACAATATATCCATGTATAATTATACACTGAAATATACATGGCCTTGTAACAACATGGTCGTGTATAATTGTACATTGTCGTGTAACAACATGACCATGTATAATTATACACTGAAATATATATGGCCCTGTAACAAAATGGCCTTGTACAATTGTACATGGACGTGTAACAACATGACCATGTATAATTATATACTGAAATATACATGGTCATGTAACAACATGACCGTGTATAATTGTACATGGCCGTGTACTTTCCAGGTCAACTGCCACGTCACCTCCGTCATGTCCACGTCAGCAATTTTCGTTAGTTTTTTAACGGTGGAACCAAAATTGATTGAAATTGTTTATAATTGGACCAAAATTAATTGAAATTGTTTATATTGGAACTAAAATTGATGAGTTTTTTTTATATTGAGACCAAAATTAATAAATTTTGGTTATATTGAGACCAAAATTGATGAGTTTTTTTATATTGGACTAAAATTGATAAATTTTAGTTATATTGGGACCAAAATTGATTTTTTCCCTAAAAATAATTCTAAATTAATATTAAAAATAAATAAATAATTTTTAATTAAAATTAAACTAATTGTAAATTATAAAATTTAAAAAATGATTAAAATATATAATTATATTTTAAAAAATGGTAAATTAATAGGACAACACAAAATGAAAAAAATAACCCATGTATATATCCATTTACTTTTTGGACGAAATTTTAAAAATAATAATATTATATTGGGATATAGTAGAAATAAAAATAAAAAGACTAAACTACCGTTATTAGTATTGTATGATATAAACGCTAATGACATTTGCGTAATATATTGTAAAATGAAAAAAAAATATTTGTAATGTTAGGTAAATAATACCGTACTAAAAAAGAAAATAGATATTTTGTTACGAGACAGACTAATATGAAAAAATTGATAGATTGTTAAGACGTACTCCATTCATCTCAAACACCGTAGAACATATGAATTCGACACGAGAATTTAGATGGATAGTATTAAGTACAATAATTTGAAATAATTTGGAGATTAAATGATGTGATTAAAGAAAAAAATATATATTTATTTTTTTATTTGAGTGATATGATAAAATAAAGTGAATTATATATTTATCTACGTATAATTAATTATTTCTAAATTTAAAAATATTATAGGAAGTTTGATACCAATAAAAAAAATAAATAAATATTGCAATGTTTGGTACGAAAGGGAGTATAATTCTTTTTTTTAAAAAAAAGTGAGGATGGAGTAATAAATACATAAATTCGCAAGCCCTACCCAGCACAATCCGCCGCCGCCGCCGCCGCCGCCGCTGCTAGCTGAATATCCGGTGAGTATTAATGTTTTTTTTCTTTTATTTTCCTTTCTTTCTTCATTTTCCTTCCGTTTATCAAGGAGAGTATGTTGTAGTAATTCTTTTCTCATCTCTTTTTTCATTTTTTTTTTTTTTTTGTTTCCGACCTCAGCTTCTTCTGCCGGCGATCGCCGGTCGGTTCGGTTCGATTCTTGGGTTCGGTTCGCGTTCTTCCCCAAATCTCTAACCCTAATTTCAGCTAATTTTCAATGGAGAGCGAGTTCAGCAGCAAGGGCGACCAGGTTCCTCAGTCACTCGAGTATTTATCAATTTCCGATCAGCCCAAGTACTGATAAGCTTTTTACTTTTTCTTTTGCGACTTTTACCGGGAATGATATCTCGGCGTTCATCGGTTTGATGAAATTACTGCAGAATGAGTGTGAAAGAGAGGTTCGATTTAATAAGGAGCATTGGCGAAGAGTGTATACAGGAAGACGAGTTAGAGAGATTGTTAGCGAACAAGCCTCAACCCATTTGCTATGACGGATTTGAACCCTCTGGCCGAATGCATATTGCTCAGGTCTCTTCCTTTGTCTTGGTTTTCATTTTGGCTCTCTTAAAATGCTCATTGGGGGAGGATCAGTTAATTTGGTAGATTAATTTTGTTTAAAGTTTGTTGCATGTTCCTAGTAAATATTTTGTATTGTTATGATTCCTTAATTGATTAGGTTTTGTGTTATTGAATTCGGTATAGAAGCTTGTATTTGGAAAAATATTAGTTCTGTAGTTGTTTAGTCTCATGAGTTGGGACAGTTTATTCATACTCTCTGCTGAATGTTGACATGGTGAAGAAGACGCAATCCAGGGTAGGCATATAACTTTGTCTAATACTATTTGCCTTTCTTTTACCATCTTTGGTTTGGCTATGTAGCGTGGCATTTTCTTGTGGAATCTCATTCTGTTGGATGGCGGAGTGCTGATGATGTACATGATTTTGTGATTACTTTGGAATGTAGAATTTTGTTAACAATTACCATATGTATAGATCACCGTGATTCTTATTCATGGTGAATGTTGCATTTTCTTGTCTTAAAGAAATAATTATAACAATATAAATGACGAAAGCTTCAAATGGTTTCAAGCTGCACTTTAAATGTATGCTCTAGCTTCAGTAAACGTCAAAAGGAGTGATCCTTGATTCTTAGTGATCTTCTCTAATTGCGTCGGCCAAAACATTTCTATGCAGGGAGTTCTGAAAGCAATTAATGTAAACAAGTTGACTTCAGCTGGCTGCAGAGTGAGAATTTGGATTGCAGATTGGTTTGCACAGCTGAACAATAAAATGGGCGGTGACTTAAAGAAAATTCAAGTGGTAGGGCAATACTTGATTGAAATATGGAAAGCTGTAGGAATGAATATTGAAGGAGGTCAAGTAGAGTTTCTATGGTCTTCGGAGGAGATAAATGCCCGGGCTCATGAGTACTGGCCCCTTGTAATGGACATAGCGCGGAGGAACAATCTTCCAAGGATAGTGAGGTGTGGATTTAAGTTTCTAGTTTTCTAATTGCACATTCATTGCATAGCCTGTCTCCATCTTGTTTTATAAAAACTTATTCAGGTGCTGCCAAATTATGGGCCGTTCAGAGCAAGACGAATTGACAGCTGCTCAAATTTTCTACCCATGCATGCAGTGCGCTGATATATTTTTTCTGAAGGTGATATGTGGATATTATTAATTGCTTCAGTGAATATGCTTATGTGAACTTGTACTTGTCCCATTTGGTTTGTATGGTGGAGTTTCATGTATGTTAGTTACAATTTTCTGTTATATATAGATTGTAGTTCATGATTTGTACTAAAATATTACTTCATGTAATTGATGGTACAATTATTGACAGTAGGTTAGGTTCATTGCTATATTATTCTTTATACCATATTCAGGGTTTAGGAACATGATGTTCTAGCAACATTAATAAAGTGTTGTTCTTGTTATCATGGCGTATTGGCGAGCAATCCATTGTTACCATGTTTGAATTTCAACTATCTCTGGTTTCTAGAAACTGTTTCCACACATTCTGATGAAGAGTTCTGTGTTTGCATGTAATGGACACATTGGATCAGCTCAAACAATCACAAGATGAGAATAAATAAAGAATGCTGTGCATTTCTGCTGTTTTTGGATGAGATGATGATCTTCTTTGTTTTCTTGTGATTCCATTTTCTGGCATAGTATTTAAATCCACATTTAATGTGTTGACCATAAGAATATTTGGCAGGAATCAAGCTACCAATGAATCAAATATATATATGTTTTGTTTGTTTGAGTTGATCCATTTTGCTAATGTTGATTGTCTCTGCATAATAGTGGTTTACTGCATGAATTGATTGACACTGATTTAAAATTCCGACGTAGTTAAAATATTATTGCTTCATGACCAATCAGGCTGATATATGCCAGTTGGGCATGGACCAACGGAAAGTGAATATGCTTGCAAGGGAGTACTGTGATGACATCAAAAGAAAAAACAAGCCTATCATACTGTCTCACCGTAATCATTTGGCTTTGTGTGAATTTATTATCAAATCTCCTGTTTACAATATTATATAGTAACTTCTCTATAATACCTTTGAAATGCAGATATGCTCCCTGGTTTGCAGGAAGGACAGGAGAAGATGTCAAAAAGTGATCCCTCGTCTTCAATCTACATGGAGGATGAAGAGGTGATTTCATATTATAATTTACTAATATACAAACAGTTTTGTTTTCCCTATTTAAAGCTATGTCCATCGTTATTCATATCTCATGGAGTTTCTATCTATTCAACAATGATGAGTTTTTTTTAGGCTGCTGTGAACTTGAAGATAAAAAAAGCTTTTTGCCCTCCTAAAGTGGTGGAAAAGAATCCATGTCTGGAGTATGTCAAATACATAGTCCTACCATGGTTCAATGAATTCATGGTTGAGAGAAAACCTGAGAATGGAGGAAACAAGTAAGTATTTATGGCTTCCTATTGCTTGTTTCTGGTTAAGTTCCATAACTGGTTCATTTTTCGGAGATATTGTTCTTTGAATTTAGTTTCTAGTTTTGGATGTTGCCTACAAAAATTTTTCATCTGTTGTCTTCAGGACCTTCAAGACTTTCAAAGAGTTAGCTGATGATTATGAGAGTGGGGAGCTGCATCCTGGGGATCTCAAACCTGCTCTTGCGAAAGCAATAAACAAGATCCTGCAGGTCCTATTTAATACTCTGTTAATTTATTTATTGTGGTTAAAATTGCTTTAAATATATATATATATACATATTTAAAATAACATAATCAATCACAAATGCTTGATTACATGAAGGCCTTCAGTGGTAGGTATAGAATGTTGTTTTTTAAATCAGGGGTTTATGTTCTGATATTACACAATTTGTTGAACAAGTTCCTAGTTGAAATATAGCGATCACATGTGTGGCTTAATAGCTGTCTGGTATAAATAAGAAAGTGCTAAATGCATCATCTTCATCCCTCTTAGATTTCATGTTTCTTTAAATGATAATCCATGTGAAACATTAATTTGTAAATCCAGGCACATTTTATTGACAAAATGTTGGGAGCAAATGATTTCATTTTGGTGGTAATGTGTGTAGTTTTTAGTAAATTCAAGAGGCTTATTTACATATTATGTTTTGAAAAATACAACTTAGGAGTAATTTCTATTTAGGTGTACAACCTTCCATTTTTATTTAAAATATTCTTCTCTTATTAGCTATCTGAGTTATTCACTTGACTTTTGGTTTGTTGGGCAGCCTGTCCGTGATCATTTTAACAATGATCCGAAAGCCAAGGACTTGGTGAAAAGAGTGAAGGTATCTATCTCCCTTGGCTTGCTTTATTTTTTTCATGTAATTAATGCATGATTGTGTTTTGTAAGTATTGCAATTTGACAACTAAATAACAACTCAACCCCGATAACCCTCTCAACCGATCATATTTCCGTTGCTGAGCAGTGAATATGTGAAAAGGAAAAGTTGTTGACAATCAAAGATGCTATCTTCTATTCTTTGATTGCGAGTCATAAATAATACTCCATTCGTCCGGCTCTAATGGTCTAATTTATCATTATACTTAACATTAAAAATATTCTTATATTTATATATTTTTTTGCACAAATATTATTATAATAGTATTATAAGACACTAATAGAAATATTTTTGTAATTTTCTTTTAATTTATACCACGTTTTCATTTAATAATTAATATTCAAAGATCGATACGCACAAACTAAATGAAACCTTTAGAGCTGGACGAAGGTAATATTAAATTTAGAAATTGGTTGAAATAATAATGTTGTGAAATGATTGCAATACGATAGTGGTTAGTGATGTTATTTGCAAATGGCGATACGCACATATTTGTGTTCTTTGACTACATATTTCTAAAAGTCTTGCTAACAAATATCTCTCTAGCAAAGAGTAGAGTATTTTCTGAGATGAGATGAAATGTGCAATCAGCCTAGCCTGTCTTTCTGCTCCGCCTGCGTGCGTAAAAGAAGAGAAAATAAACTATAGCTTAAGCGATTCCTATAACACACACACACATGCCTTGTAATTAATTTCCATTTGGTTATGTGTGTCTACCTATGGTATGAACGATTATTGAATCTTATCTTATGTATTGATGCAGAGCTATAAGGTGACAAGGTGATGGCGATGTGTATGCTGGCAGGCCTGAAATGAATGACTCACTATTTACTGCATTGCAGATTTTGGTGGTTCGTGTTAAAAATTAGTCAACATGGTTTCACTAATTGATCACCCTTTAGCTTTAGCTGGACATTATATTATATCTCGAAGGAGGCAGGTAATAGATCCATATTTACATATTTAAAAAGTAACATTGGAATTGGAATGATATATGTATGGGTGGCGGCGGTTACGGTGCTAATATTATTTTAGTCGGTACCTTTATAATTTTATTGCAACCGTTTGGATTAAAGATTATTATACACGAGGGAACGGATACGGCGTTGATTTGAAAAAATAAGTACCATTTTAATTCAGCATTTGTAATATATACAAATAGCATATGCGGTGTGTAATAAAGATATGTGCTATTTGTTTATAATTACAAGTGTGTTGTATAAGAATTTGTCGTGCGTTAAAAGTAGTTTTGTGTGATGTATGAATTATGGTATGTGTTGGTTGTATGTGTATTGTAGTAATAATATATACAGCGTGCTGTGTTTACCTGCCGATGTTATATTCAACACTGTATCCGGTGCCTATGTTCGATTGTGAACATATAGTAGGGGTAGATTTGTACTTTTATGGAAGAGAAGAAATAGCTGATTTGTGTATTTCCGTGGTGTTAGTATACGATGATGTGTTGTTTATTTTATAAATTATACTTCCTTTCCTTTGTCTCTCAACCATCTATCCATTTTTTTCATTTTGGTCCGTCTCATAATTATTCATTTATAGTAATTGTATTATCTATCTAACATTACAAATACCCTTTAATATATTAAGCAAATATCATTATCATTGTATCATCCTAATATAATACTACTATTATAATAGTAATATTTCTAGACCTATTTTATTTTAATATAATACTAATATTTTTAAATGTTCGGATAAAAAACAAATGGATATATGGATATGAGACGGAAGGAATATTATTTATTTAATAAAATTAATAAATAATACTTCCTATCAAGATTAAATTTTTTATTTATTTGTGGTGTCATTATTTTTAATATTAAAAATATCTTGTATAATTTTTTGTTCAAAGGTTATTATATTAGTATTATAAGATACTAATAAAAATATTTTTGTTATTTTTTTTTTTAATTTGTACTATATTTTGATATAATAATTAAAATTTAAAAATCAAGGTGCCAAAAATAAATAAAAAATTTAGTATTGGACGAGGGTATATTAGTTTAAAAACATCATTATAATTTGTTTACCGACACATGCAAAAGAAAAATAAAAATAATGAAATAGTTGTTTATATGTTTTATATTTTTATACTTAGATGAATAAATAAATAAATTATGTATCCTTCGTTTTTCAAAATTTTTCTATACTTGTATTACTTTATATATATATATATATAAAGTCGTGCTCTTTTTTGTGTAAATCGATGTAGGTAAAAGAGTTACTAATAAAATATATATATGTGTGATGTTGATATTACTTATATGAAATTTTTATATATTAGAAGTGCTATTTGTATTATAAATGATATTATTTGTTTAATAAAATTATAAATAATATATTAATTTGAAAATATAATGATATTTCTTTCTTCCACTTAATAAGTTTATATATATCTTTATATTTATATAATTTATTGTATAAATGTTATTTTATTAGTATTACAAGATATTAATATAATTATTTTTGTCAATTTTTTTATTTGAACTATATTTTGATAATATTAAAAAAAAACAAATATAAACTTTTAAAGCGGACGAAAGAAATATTATTTGACTGATATATTAAAAAATATACTAGTATTATAAACTGTATATTTTTTTATGATTAGATGAATATAAAAATAAGAAGATTTTGTGTGCTTTCACTGCATTATATATATATATATATATGTGATTTTTTAATTGTAAATATGTTCTATTTATCTATTTTTATGATAGTAAATAGGATATCATTATTTTAACACCAATATTATTAAATAATTATAAAAATAATATGAATCTCTTTTACCACAAATCGTTTAAAAATGCAGTACAACCAAAGATTATTTTTACCGCATATATTTTTGGGTAAATTATATAATACTCCATTGTATTTTATTTATTGGCATGAAACTCCATGAGTTAATTTAAAATTTGCATAAAATATTCTCAGATGTTTGGTTTTAATTAAAGATTTAAATTACACAAATTTTACAAATAAAACAAGTAAAATATCTTAAATAATTTTTTGAATAAAAAAATAAAAAAATAATTGATCAATTATTTATTTTACGTGTTTTACTTGTATAAAACTTGCATTATTGTGTTCATATTTACAATCAAATATAAATTTTGGACGAAAAAGATATTTCATACAAATTTTAGATTAACACAAAGAAATTTCACTTAATAAATAAAATACGAAGTGTTTTATATATTTTCATTAAAATACAATAAGTGTTATATAATTTATCCTATATTTATTTTTTAATATATACATATTTTCGTAAATATCTGTTGTCTTTTTTTTTTTTTCTTTTGTTTTTTGTTTTTGTACTTATTAAAGATTACTGTTTATTTTAGATAAGCAAATTTGGAGTTAAAAATGGAAGTTTGTGTGTGTGTGGTTATAAAACACTATATATATATATTTATTTGTAATATGTGCTATTAGTATATTTATATTAAATAAAATATTATTATTAATAAAATTATTATATAATTAATATAATGATTTTCTTTTATTGATACATGGTAAAAAGATAATGCGGCTATCGTAGGATATATATTTCTATTATACTCCCTCCGTCCATTTCATTAAATATCTTACTTTTTTTTTCACAAATACTTTTACTTTACATCACATCGTTACTTTTACACCAAAAAGCAAAGGCAAAAATATCATTACACTATTTTTAACTACCCACTATAATTAAAATACTATTATTTCTTAAACACTGCATCAAAAGTAATTGTATATATATATATATTTTTTTTATGGATGGAGGGAGTATATTTTAATAGATTTTCTATGTGATTTTCTTACTAGCAGGTGGTATTGTTTTGTTTATATTATTGTTGTTTTGTTTACATTAGTGCAAATATGCGTGGATGCTTTAATAGATTATATATGTAACTATTTTTTTTTTTTAATTTGTAATGTCAGTTATTTACCTATTTATATAAAATATGATATTATTATTTTAATAAAATTATTAAATAATTATAAAAATATAATATTTTTTAAAATATGATATTATTATTTTAATAAAATTATTAAATAATTATAAAAATATAATATTTTTTTTCTTAACATAAGGTAAAAGGTAATACTACATGGTCATTGTAAGGTTTATATATATATATATATTATTATATATTCACTTAGTCTATTTTTTACTGTACTAATTATTATTTACAAGCATTTTAGAAAATTAATTTTTTATTATGAATTGATAAATTTATCTTTAAAAATATAATTATCTTTCTATTTTGCAGACGACCGAAATAAATAGATAAATAAATAAACATAAGAAATCAAGAAATTCAGACCAAATGGAAGACGAATTAAAAATAAATAAGTTGAAAATTATTTAATAAGTAGATTAAATAATTATATATGAAAAACAAGTGAATGAAATAAAGATAATAAAAATCTCTATCCATAGGTACTGCTCTCTGTTAATAAAGGCAGTGTTCTCTACCAACAGAGCCAATGCTCTCTCTCTGTTAATAAAAACAGTGTTTTCTATCAATAGATGCGGCACTCATGAAATATGTAGTGCTTTCTGTTAACATGGACAACACTCTAATTTTTTTAACCCAATAATATTCTATTTCGGAGGACCAATGAATTTTGTCAACAAAGCTAGTGCTGCTCTGATAAAAGAAATCGTGCTCTCTGTTAATAGAAACAATATTTTCTGTCAACAGAAACGATGTTCTATAAGAACAGAGGCAGTGCTTTCTGTGAAAAAAAGAAACGATTTTTAACATAGCAATATTTTATTTGAAAGAGCCGGTGCTATCTGTCAACACAGCTAGTGCTTTTTGATAAAAAACATAATGTCTCTATCAACCGAGACAGTGCTCTCGATTAGCAGAGACAGTGCGATTTGAATTTTCTAACCCAACATAAGCGGTGTTTCATTTAAGAAAGCCAGCTCTCTTAATTTATTAAGCAATTTTTTGAATTAAAATTACAAAATATACAATTATATTTTTGTTTTATAAAATGAGATCTATATATTGTAGAAAAATCAAACTATTTAATTATTTTATAAAGATTTATAAATAAAAATGAAAAGCAACAAGTATTCTTATTGCCGAAAGCAACGTAATTGAAAGAAGAAGGCATAAACTAAATTCACAGAAAGTATATTATATTGTTATTTTAGAAAAGTTTTAATTGTCATATTAAGGTGCATTGTAAATTTACTTAAATAACCTTTTTTATTCTGCACCATACGATGTGAAAATAAAAAAAATCTAACGGCTCCTATTCAATCAGTGGGGTCAGTACGGTAACAACACCGATATATATACATATTTTCTTTTATAGTTAAAAAAGTGAGTAAGAATGATAAAAAATAATACTCATTCATTTCGTCTGTCTCTAAAGGTCATATTTATCTTTTGCATCGTTGTGCTTAACATTAAAAACATCCTTATATTTGTATAGTTTTTTTTTATACAAATACCCTTCTATTAGTATTGATTGAGTCTGTGTGAACCCAATCAAATAAGTATGATACTGATTTGATCGGGTCAACATATCACATAAAAGCACACACTATATATTTTTGCATAACATAACATATGTTGTGTTATAAGATATCATATGATTATTATAACATAATATATGTGGTATTATAAATATATTATATATGTTGATTACCTTTATTTGATATTCTAATCCGATCAAATTAACATCATGCTGATTTGATTGAGTTAGCACTGGATCTGCACCCTGATTTCATTTTATAAAATATTATATTAAAATATTATTGAACCAACATTCGAATCTAAATCTAAATCTATTTTTTTTAAAAAAAAAAATAAAATTATACATTCAAATCAGCATCATAGTATATTATATATGTTGATTACCTTTATTTGATATTCTAATCCGATCAAATTAGCATCATGCTGATTTGATTGAGTTAACACTGGATCTGCACCATGATTTCATTTTACAAAATATTATATTGAAATATTATTGAACCAAAATTCAAATTTAAATCTAAATCTATTTTTTTTTTTTTTTTTTAAAATAGAACTATACATTCACCCTAATTTCTAATAGAGGTGGGATTTGTATTAGGTAACAAATGTTACTACTCGAAACATTCAACACCAAAATATTATGAATTTAGGGTATGTTTCTTTTGCCCAAAATATCAGGTTTTTATTATTTGGACTCTGCATTTCCCGAAAAAAAATACACTTTTTCCTCTCACAAAACATCCCATCATACATTATTTTAATACAAAACTCAAACCAAATTTTTTTCAAACTCATCTAAAGATTATATCTATGACAGTCTTTGTCACATTTATTTTATTTTTCAATTGGATTTTGGTCTATATCTTGAAAGATCGATTTTCTTGTCCTGCCCATGCATCACATATACTACGTAAATACATCAATTTTCTTAAAGTATAAGTTTAGAGGGCCATAGAGATATATATGTGTAATTTTAATAATCTTCAAATGTTAAGCACAACACTGGATGGCTGTGCTAGATGATTGACAATGTAAAATTGCACCAACTTATTTATATTATTGTTTAATTTTTGTTACATTCATATTTTGAGGCCACAAATATATTTTTATCTCCCCATTTTTTGTAATTATTTATTTATTTATTTTTTTACTAAACCTATTCTGATGGAATAAAATGAATGTGAGGATATTGGTAATGGAAATAATGATTATTGTTGGAATTAAGCATGTTTTAATGTCAAATTTCATCATTAAATGATAGTTAAAAACATAAGCAAGTAGTAATTTAACTAGAAGACTGCCCTAGCTAAAATAATTGGGGCCATTATATACAATGAAGTCTTTTAGTACAATACAATGATATTACAAAACGGATTAGATTGGCATTTGATTTATGTCATATAGATTACAAGATAAGAAAATCAATTTATTATTTCGACATTGATTTAATTATGACACTGCTGAAATATAGATAGAAGAATCGCATTCAAACAAATGAAAAAAAAAAAGAAAAGCGAGTTAAGAAAAAATCACGATTTCCATGCATATTATCCGTAATATATATGTATGTATAGTGCTTAAGGCCATAATTGCCAAAATTTGATGACCTAATTTATTATGAATGAAAATTTCATGTATCGATATTAATTTAAATACCATGTGCTATAGCACTTTTTTGTTTTTTTTTTTGTTTTTTTTTTTTAATGCGATAATATTAACTTTTGATAAGTAGTGTAGTATAGTTTTGTCTCCATCAAATTGCTTTATGGTTACTATATAATTTTTTTTTTTTTTTTTAAAAGATGTATATATCTTGGCTCGACTTGTAGAATTCTCAGCCTCATGTTCTTTACCATAATAATTTACCATGCATTATACTCCTCCATGTGTAGTGTAGTATAGTAGTGTAGCAAGCAATACTATATATTGTTGTCTCCTCATCAAAGTTAGATGCAAAAATCGATCCTAATTTACCTCGTAAGAAACATATAAATATCGTACAATGCTACTTTATGTATTGATCAATTAATTAGTATTGAAGTAAAAACCGAAGAATGGAGATCGATCGATTGATCAAAAGTATGTATCATTAATGAGTATAGCATCAACCCTAGCTACCTTAGCACAACCAATTAGAGATTTACACAAGGCTAGCTCATCAAAGATCAATGCCGCCGCACTCAAACTACTTTTACTTTATTAAATATCGATCATTGTAACCCTAATTTTCCATTGCAAGACTTTGCATAAATACATAGTTACTTGTTCACATCAGTACAAGTTATTCTTATTAGGGTTTTCTCAATGGGAAGAGGAAAAGTAGTTTTGGAGAGGATAGAGAACAAGGTGAATCGACAAGTGACATTCGGTAAGAGGAAGAATGGGATGATGAAGAAGGCTCAGGAGCTGTCTGTTTTGTGTGATGCTGAGGTTGCCCTAATTATATTCTCCAGCCAGGGAAAGCTTTTCGACTTCGGCACTGTCGGGTATATATATATATATATATAGATAGATAGATCCATATATTCCCCAAACCCTAATAATAGATTCTTGTAAAAAACTTTGTTAATATATATACTTTAATTTGATCAAGTTTTTGTCCCTTGTTTGTGAATGCTGTGGGGATATATGGGGGGCTAGATCCATTTGAATTCAAATGCAAAAGTTGGGTGGATGAAAAAATGAATAAGTAGTAGTACTATTTTGTCCAAAATCATAACTAGGTTGTCGTATTTTTGTTTGTTCGAAACATAAAAATATTCCGAAACCCTTGTGTGTGTTTTTATCCGATGAGAATAAATTATTAGTATGAATTATGAAGTGTCATGATTCAAGAAATGGACAACACATTCTAAAATTAAGGTTTGTTTGTATTAGGGATAATTTAAGGGTTTATTTCGTTGCGATTTGAATTTAATTTGAAATATAGTATTAATTTAAATTTTATTTAAATAGTATTTTGATATATTATTCTTATACTTTTATGAAAACTATACAAAATAATTAATATTAATTTTAGTCAAAATTAAAGACACATTCAATACAACAATATATGTATGTATATATTTTTTTAGAAGTTTGACAATGACAAGAGAATGATTCTATCCGTGTGGAAGAGGGAATTGCAGACTTCTTTGCTTTGTTTGACAGAGTCATTGATATATGTTATGCATTGAAATTTAAGTATGTGGGAGCTACAAAATAAATTGACTCTCAATCCAACTATTATTATTATTTTTTTTTGTTTTTTTTTTTTTATGATGTGGAATCGCTACTGCTATTATTTGAGTTAATTTCCGTCGAATATTGAGATATATCTTATTATTTTAGGCATATAATCATATATTCTATATTAATTTGATAGTTTTACCAAATAATTGAATCTATTGGTTTGTTTGATATGTAACTTAGTTTGAGTTTTATTTTTTATTTTTTATTTTTTATTTTTTTATTTAAGTACTAATTTAAATAGTATTGTGATATAATATTATGTGAGAGCAAATAATTTTTTTTTACTAAACATTGACCGAATAGTATAAAATTATGTTTGAAATCAAAACTAAACATAATGAACATATAAATTATTTTGAAAGAGAAATAGAAAAAAAAAATTGCATTTTTAACTAAGTATATGCTTGTGTTTATTATTTGTGTGGCTGTTGTAACAAGCCCTGTGAAACAAAAATTGCTAATTACTTAAAATATTTCGAATCATTAGATGTCAAAATATGCATACATCGTCAAGGTCAAATGTTAATTTATATTATCTTCTTGTCTGTTTAGGGTATTTTACTCGTTACAAAAAAAATAATATATTTGTCACAGAATTTCGTCCCTAAAGTTCACGTAGCTAACGTAATTTCATTACTAATTTCGTCTCTAATGTCATTAGTAACGAAAAAAATAGATTTAAAGACAAAAAAATTTTGTTATAAAAATGATTTTTTCTTGTAATGACTCGGTGAATGATATGTATATATAGGTCATAATATGTAATTATTTTAAGCATTTTCCTGTTTGTGATTTATGTAGAACAAGAAGAACTGTTGAGAGATACATACAGCTGAAATCTGGTGCGAATGGAAGCAGTGCTGCTGAACAAGGAAATCAGGTTTCTTGAATTTAATTTTTTTTTTTTTTATATATTTGTATACTGTGTCTGTGTCAATAAAAGGGGTTTCTTTCCTTCACTTGTGTTTTCATTTTTGTGTTTGAATTAATATATTTTTTTTAAGTAAAATTATTATTTGATCTAACGTTGTAGATCACAAAGAATTGGGTATTGTGATGTTATTGGTATGAAAGTGATAGATTCAACAGTAAACAAATTGATCAAATACAAAAAGATCATGAACATAATTAACATCATTTTCACCTTTTTGCAATTTATTTTGCATAGAAACATTTTTTCTTCTAGACAATGGGTGTGTTTGTTTGGGGGTTCGGATTTTGATTTGGGATTTAAATAGTAAAAGTTTTGAATTTGAATAGTTGTATGATGTGATATAAATAAGTGTTGATGTGATGTTTTGAATGTAAAATTGATTTTTAGTATAATATAAAAAAAATGAAAAATCGATGTTTGCACTACAATAAAATATCAATTTTGTAACGAAATTTTTTCGTTCTTAAATCCACTTTTTCCGTTACTAATGATATTAGAGACGGAATTAGGGATGAAATTTCGTTAGTACGTGAACTTTAGAAACGAAATTCCGTTACAAATATACTATTTTTTTGTAGTATTGATTTGATGTTTTTGAGGAAAAAAATAGGATAAATAGTGTATTTAAAATCCAATTCCCCAAACAAACACACCGTAAGGTTTTTTCTTTTATAATTGGTGATGTTACAATTCAATTGGAAGTATTATGTTGTTTCATACGTTGTTGTTGTTGTTGTGTAATGCAGTCTATTTACCACGTTGTGAACAAGTTAAAAACCAAATATCACTCTCTTCATCTCTCTCAAAGGTAAGAAATTTTTTTCATATATATAATTTATACTATTATGTTGATTAATTTATTGACATTCATTTCAGTGACGGAAAATTTTTATTGATAATACATTCGGCATATCTTCAATCCATATGTCCTATATCGATTTATATGATAAGAACCTTATTAACATACCTGGATTTATCGAGTTCTTTGATGCGGAATTGAGAACTCGAATAGTTGGTATTACGGTATTCCTCAACTAAATAGCCTAATGGGTCCTTCGTAGTCTATTCCGACGGGGAGAATGAAGAACAATGATTGATTTAGTGTATTGGGAACCATAACCGAATGTCCTTTATACAGTGATTAATATGCTACCATAATCACCTAATTGATACGCTATTTGGTATATGCTCAATTTATCACATGTCAATAAGATAGTAATTGACTTGTTCCATAATTAGATCACGTAATTTAAGTCAATCAAATAAATAATTGATTGTTTCTATGATCAAATCTCGTAATCTAAGTCAATCAAAGAAATTATTGATTATTTCTATTATTAGATTACGTAATTTAAGTCAATCAAATAAATCAAAATAACTAATATAATCGTACATTATTATTTTCTCATAATTATATAGGAAAATATATATTTTTCTAAATTTCTATTCATATATAATTATAACAAAAAATTACAAATAGAGTCCCCCCTAAGGAATAATCTAGTGGTGTGACCCATTTGATTTTACATGTCACATATGGTTCGCCTAGTGTAATTTATTTTTCTAGCTTAATTTGCAGACTATTAGGTTCGATCGAAAATTTACCCATAATGCATTCGAAGAGTAGCAGCTGCGGATTCTTACGTCACAAAAAAATAAATTACAAATATAGTAATATATATATGATCAATTATCATTTTTGTCCAGTGTATTTCTCAGTTATGTTTTGGTCGAGTAACCTGTAAAGAATATTTTTATGGTCATCTAGAATTTTTTTTTGTTAATAATGTATGGACCAAAACAAAGTTTGATAAAGATATAAAATATAAAAGCAATGGTTGGTTAGAAGAACCAAATAATATTTACAATTTTATTTTTTTCTGTAATTATTATATTATATAGGTTTTCTTTGTTGGGAATAAATAAACACTTGTGCAAAAAATTTTAGGCATTTACTTGGAGAAGATCTGGAAGGACTTGGTCTGAAGAAATTACTGAGTCTTGAGAAGCAGGTGGAGGCTACCCTCTCAAAGGCAAGAAAATGGAAGGTATATATCATCTAATCTTATTCTATATGAATTGATTTTATTTCAATTAAATAATCTATATCTATATATATATATATATATATGCATTGATTTTATTTCATTTTAAGGACCTATATATATGGTCACCAGAAATATTGTCCAAGGGTTTGTTTAGAAGTGTTTATTTTGATGTTTTAAAAATATAGTAAAATTAAAATTGAAATGTATTTCTATTGTATTTTCATTAGGTTTTTTTTTTTTTTTTTTTTTTTTTTTTTTATAGTATTTTGAATAGAAAATATATGTGAATATAATATTTTTTAGATGAAGAAAATATATACATATATTTGATATGATGCATTTTAGTGAGGAAATTGATAGGTAAGATGAAAATAAAGTAGAAAAATGAAATTAAACAAACCCTAACTAATGTAATGAAGAAATTAAATATATATATATATATATATATAAAAGATCCAAACAATTTTTTATCAAAGGAGTAGTTTTATTATATCAAATTATTTTTTTATTATATAAATTAATTGTTCTTAATAAGAATATATAGTTATTTATAAAATATTATTTAAATTAAAATTCAAAGAAAAAAAAAGTTGAAATCCAAATACAAATCAAACAGAAACAATATGTATGTTTATTTAAAAAAGAAAATCTTTTGCAGCAAATATCAAAGAGATCGAGGAAAGGAAGTTTTGTATATAGCTTATAATGTTATTAGCTTTATCATTAATAAATGTTTTTAAAAAAATACTATCTCCGTCCCACAACAAGTGTGCATTATTTATTTTTTGTACATAAATTTTTTAATATCAATATTATACTCCCTCATTCCCTTAACAATCTATCCATTTTGGTCCGTCCCATAACAAAGTATCAATTTCTTTTTCTAGTAATTTTACTATCTACCTAACATTACAAATACCCTTCTAATTTACGATATATTACACAAATATCATTACCTTTATATCATACAATACTAATATAGTTAATTTAGTCTTTTTACCTTTATTTCTATTTTGTCACAATATAATACTAATATTTTTAAAACTCCGTGTATAAAACAAATGAATATATAGATATGGGACGGAGGGAGTATTAGTTTGTAATAAAAAAAGAAAAAGAAAAACAAAGTGCTCCTATTAGTAAGTATGATGTAATATAAAAAAGTAAAATTGCTTATAACTCCCCTGTGGTTTCGAAAGTCAGCGTAAAATCTCCATATACTTTCAAAATTGCATGGTACCCCTTTATACTTTTAAAAACGTTGCATGAAACCCACCACTATGAAACTTTCCTCGTGTGATAAGAAGATGATTTCCTATCTATATGTTTTGCATGACAGAGGGGGTTTTATGCAATATTTTTTAAAGTATAAGTGAGCGTCATGCAATTTTTTAAAGTAAAATGGGGATTTATGCTGAATTTCGAAACCACAAAGTGGTTTCATGCAACATTTTTTAAAGTATAAGGGACGTCATACAATTTTTAAAGTAGAAGGAGAATTTACGCTGAGTTTCGAAATCACAACGGAGTTATGGACAATTTTGCCATATAAAAATAATGATATTTGTGTAATATATTGTAAATTGTAATGATATTTATTATATTAAATAGATAATACAATTACTAAATTAAAAAATAATATTTTTTTTTAAATGAACAAAAATAAAAAATAATAAATTTCTTCCGGGACGAAGGGAGTATTGCAATATGGACATGTTTTTTATCCTATTAAATAGTACTATTGTATTGTAATAGTAGATTGACGAATTGTCATTCTCATGCAAGGAGTACTACTATCTCTGCACATGCATTGTTTCGAAAATAAGAAATAAAATAAAAATAAGGTGTTGATGGTGACAGAAATCATCTTCTTGGGGTATATGTGTTCTAAATTGTTTTAAAAAAAAAATAAAATTTGAAATAGTTTAATATAAAATTTCATATATTTTAAATTAAAATTTAATATTTAATATGATATATTTTACTATTAAATAATAATATTACTTATTACTCCTTTCGTCGTACTTGTCATGTCCACCTTTTCATTTATGTTTGTCTCACTTTTTATTTCTATTTGTCTCACTTATTTTGTTATTTTTTTAAAAAATTATACACTTTAATCTTAATTTAATTTTTTAATTTATATGTTTTTGTAATTTTAATTAGACTAATTAGTTATTTTAATTTTAATTTATAATTATTTTTATTTAAAATAATTATTTTTACTAATACATTTTTAATTATTTATTAATTATACTTCTCATAAATTTTTGTGACTACAATAAAATAAATATGATAGCCGGGACAGATGGAATATAAAAAAATAATATTAAAAAATAGGTGGTAATATGTTTTAAACATTTAACAATTTAGTATAGTTGAATATATATATATATATATGACTAGTTAGGGCACTGCAATTAAGATCTTTACCTAAAGTATTTTATCATATTTAATTTACACTTTTTTTTTACTTCATATTTTGTTTCCTCCACTTATTTTTATAATTAAAAAAAAAATTAGAAAATATATCAATATGTATTTAATTGTGTAGAGAATAAAATTTTATATAATATACAAATATAAAAAATGAAAAAAGAATATTATAATAGATATATAAAAATAAAAAAGTGGAAATTTGAATTGCCTAGGAGTTTTTTCAAATTTTTCTTTTAATTATTGCTTATTTGACGCTGAGCTAAAAGGGGTACGAGTATCTCGGCAGATGAGATATCACCGTTGTGTATAGTCTTAGGTGCGTTTATCTTAAAAGATTGTATTATAATATCTAAATTATTTCAATGCATTATGTAAATAATGAAATAATTAATATAACTTTTTCTTTGCGTGATTAAATATTAGATAAAATTATTAAATATAAAATATTTCTAAGTGTTTAAAGAGATGAGTAATTTAGGTAATTTAATAAGTAAGATTAAATAATACTAGAGGTTATATTGTATTAATAATTATATAAATTAGTATAATTGTAAAAGACTTTTTTTTTTTATATTTTTGAATTTTATAAAAATTTATTTTCTATAGAATAAAATAAATATTAATAGCTATATTTATATATGTTTAATTTTAAAATTAAATAATTTTGATATAAATATAAACATATATGTAATTTTTTAATAAAATAAATGAAAGAAAGTATAAAAGTGGATGAACAAAAATATATGGTGGAAGAAAAAGAATATGAAAAAGAAATAGGAGATACTTTTAAAAATATTATACTCCCTCCGTCCATTGAATGGGTGACATTTGCTTTTTGCACATAAATTTTTAAATATTAGTATTATATTGGATTGTATTAAAAAAAAGACAAAAATATCTCTATTAGTATAGTGTAATATAAAAGTAATGACATTTGTTTAATATATCGTAAGTTGAAAGGGTATTTATTATGTTAGGTAGGTAGTACAATTATTAAATTAGGAAATGATAATCTTATTTTGGGACAAACGAATAGAAAATAATAACATTTGAATGAGACGGAGGGAGTATTGTTATTTATAGTTACTTTTAAAATATTATATTGTTTATTTATAATTAATATGCTATTTGGTAATAATTCATGCTCTCGTTTGAATTTTGGATTGAAATTTGAATAGTAAAAATTTTGAATGTGAATAATCGTACGATATGATATAAATAGGTGTTGATGTGATGTTTTGAATGTAAAATTAATTTTTAATATAATATAAAAAAAAATAAAAAAAAATAGGTGTTTGATTTGATATTTTTTAGAAAAATAAATAAATAAATATGTAGTAAAATTCGGAGAAAATCCCCCAAATAAACACATATGGGCCCTTGACTTGCTTTTGCTACTGCTTAGTCAATTATTTACAAAATTATTAATATCAGATCTAATGTACTTGACCTGTGTGTTCGTTTGGGGTTTGTGTATTGAATTCCGGGTTTTTAACAATTTTGAAATAAAATAGTTGTACAATGTATAAATAAATATTTATATGATATTTTATATTTAAATTAATTTTTAATGTAATATAAAAAATAAAAATATATATTTACTTTAATATTTTTAAAGTATTTTTTTTTTTAAAGAAGGAATAGAAAATCTTAAAAAAAAAAAATCAAATCAAATAAATACAATGTAACATGTTTGTTTTTTTGTAACTCATGTCATATCAGGCAGTGTATTCTTCTTAAAAACATTAAAATTAAACATGTATTCTTCTTATATAAAACACTGTATTAAATTTTATTTCATTTTTTGTTTGAAAACATTATTCAACATTTTACTTTTTCTATTAAGAAAGAATGCATCAAAACCTTGTGTATTTAGTCGAGAAGTTTTGATTTTAAATAGTAAAATTTTGAATTGAAATAATTGTTTGATGTGATATAAATATCAATTAATGTGATGTTTTTAATTTAAAATTAGATTTTAGTATAATAAAATAAATAAAAATTAAGTGTTTGATTTGATATTTTTTGAGAAAAAATAAAGTTGAAATAGTAAAATTATGAGTAAAATCTTACAGTAAATAGAACCTAATATTTTCAAAATAAATGAAAATACAAACGAAAATTGAGCGTTTGAAATAAATTGAGGGAAAATTATTATTTTCAAAATAAAATTGAAATAATAAAATTAGGGGTAATATCAATGAAAATTGAGGGTTTGATTTTTGAAAATTATTATTTTCAAAATAAATGAAAATACAAACGGAAATATATATATATATATATATATAAAGGGAAAAAAAAGAAAGTTTGTTTGAAAGTTGGTGTTTATGTCATTACTTGATGAAATAGAAAATTTAAATGTGTAAATATATATGCAGACAAGAAAAATGCTGGAAAAGATGGAAACTTTGCGCAAAATGGTAAGCACATTGTGAAAACCTTGGAATTATACATATACTCATATTGGTTCAAAACGTCAGGGGTGAGCATTCGAATTTTCGGTTCAGATTTAACCAAATTTGAATCGATCCGAAAATTCGAAATTTTTGAAAAAATCAATCCGAACCGAACCGAAATAACCGAAATCCGAACTAAAAAATCCGAACCAAACCGAAAAATCCGAAATTCTAAATATTTTTATTATTATTTTTTAAATTTTTAAATTCTTTTATATTTTATTATTATTTTATAATATTAAATATATATAATATATAAAAATTAAATATATTAAAATATAATTAATAAATTTGAGTTTTTTATATTAAAATATAATATCTTCTAATAAAATATTAAATATATATAATAAAAAAATATATTAAAATATTATATTTCGATTTTTAGATTGGTTCGGATTTTAAGTATACCGATCCGATCCGACCCGACCAGAAAATCCAAAATTTGTTAAAAATTCAATCCGATTCAATCCGAAAATTCGAAAAATCCAAACCAAATTTTAAATTTCAATTTGGTTCAGATTAGATTTTCGGATTTCGGATATTTTGGTCACCCCTACAAAACATGACAAGATTATATAATTCAAAATAATTAAATAGAAAGGTAAGTCATGATATGTACATATGACGACAGGGAACTGAACTTGAAGAAGAGAACAAGCAACTCAAATCAAAGGTTATACATTCTATCACTTATAATATATCTAGTTAATTTATATTTTCTCATTCTCAACAGAGTTGTCTTGTTTTTCTATTTTCGTCCGTCTCGAAACAATTGTCTTGTTTCTTTATTTAGTCATCGTGGTTCCCACTTTATAATAAAATTATTCATGTTTTTTCAAACTATCCCTAGTTATTACTCTAATCTACTTTTTAAAATCATTTAAAAAATAAAGGTATTTTAGTCTTTTTACCTTTTACTTTATATCCACTTTCAATGAAATACTATTATTGAAATCACAGCTGGAGAAAGAAACTAAGGCAGCATTGGCAGAAGATTCGGCTGTCCGTGTGGTGCGACCAATGCTTTCATTCCCGGATTAGGATTAATATAGTCAACTATTTTAAATAAAAACTTCAAAGGTATGCATATTTATTTGTTTAAATAGACAATACATGCTTCTATACAAGACAATATATAGTTGTGTTATATAGAAATGTGTGATGTTTAATTTATATTTTTATATTGTATTATACTTTATAAATATATTTACTTACTGAAATTAATAATATATTGGACTATATGAAATTATATTATAAGTTGTATTTTATATTATTTTGTGTTGTCAAAAATATGTTCTTTGCCTTACATATATATATATATATGGTAACTGAGTCAAATACATATATATATATATATAATAAAATTGTCTGTAACTCTCTTATATTTTTTAAACTCGGCGTAAATTAATCCTTTATTTTAAAAATTATACGGTACTCTTTTATACTTTAAAAAATATTGCATAAAACCCCTATGTGGTTTCGAAACTCAAGTGTAAATCTCCACTTTACTTTAAAAAAAATTGTTTGACGCCCTCTTATACTTTCAAAAATATTGTATGAAACTTTCCGCTATGCAAAAATATTGATAGAAAATCATCATCCCATTACGCAACGGAGGTTTCATGGGGTGGAGAAAAGAGATTTCACGCAGAATTTCAAAATTACTGAGGAGTTATAAACAATTTTACCTATATATATATATATATATGTTCGTGTGTCTGTGCGTCATCATCAACGTATATACATGTATATGTGCTTGCGCGTGTGTTAACAATTGCAAGAATCTCTTAAGAAAAGATAAGACTCCACAATACGAACAAGGAATAAATATTTTTTTAAAAAAGTGCTATTCATTTAATTATCTTAAAATTTGTACTGTTTTTGTATCCGCAGGTCGATCGATCCTTGGAGAAGATGCAGTTGAGCAACGCACAGGATATATATGCATATATATATATATATATATATGATAAATGTGTGTGTGGAGTGAAATTGCTTCTTAGACGACTATCATCATACAGTATATTGTTAATTAATATATAAACCTTATCAAATAAATCAGCAGAATTAAACTTCACTGCAAAATCGAGAGAAGGGGTGATGAGATGAGACACTTATTATAATCTTGGTCTGTTTTAATTTCTTCTTCATGCATAATGTTTAAATTTGGACGAGATTAAGCTACCTTCATTACACTTACAAATCCATTGTCTTTTCTGATAATGTTAATTAATTAATACGATCACTTACATAGCAACAATATATATAAATTTGTTGTATTCGAAAATTCAAATATTCTTAATCTCGCGACAGTTTGTTGAAATCGGTCGAAAAATGGATAAAGGTCCCTTAGGGCATTCCAGAAAGCTCCTAAATGAATATTTCGTGTCTGTAAGCAAACGAAAAATTCTCCGATGAAAATGAAAAGGGAAAAAGACTTTTAAAAATATAATTACGTTAAAACTGGAAATGAAGGCTGAAAAATATATATTCAGAATGAAAACAACGCCGAAATAAATGAAATAAATTTTCAAAAAAGGTAAATGGCAAGAATAATAAAAATATAAGAAAAATAAAGATAGTTTAAAGATAAAAGATGGGAATTTGTTGTGTTGGTCGAGGACCCACTTCATCCTTGATCTTCGCCATTATAACCATTTCAAACCTTATAATTCCACTTCCATCAATACTCATTATTTTTTTTTCAATTACTCAAAGATCATTACTTTATATAACTCTTATGTGTTTTGATTATGTAACTGCCGAAATTCCTTCACTCATGAATGATCTATCATTTAAATAGTGTAACTTGTGGAACTCCAAACATCTTACATGACTAGTAACGACTAAAACCCCTAGGGTCATTGAATCCTCCATCATTCGGTTTCTTTAATGAAGTCTTCCACCACTTCCATAATCCCTCGCTCTTTGATTTCTTATTCAAGCTTCATTTATATCCAAATAACAGTAAAAAACTCAAAGGTTATTGAATACATTTACCCTCACTTTCTTGTAACTACTGAAACCACTCACTTCCACTATGATTTCTGCTAGCCGAGAATTTTCTTCTCACAATGGGCTTCGAATATTCTTCATGGGTTGACACTACTTCCCCTGGGCCTGATCAACTTGGCCTCAACTCAACCAATATATTCTCAATTGGGCTTTTCATCATTCCTTTTTGGGTCTTGTTTAACTTGGGCTTTTCCTTCAAATTATTGACCTTGTCCCAAAATTTTCGTAAGGTCTTGGGCTTTTTTTTGCTTCCTTGGACTAGTTATTCATCTCGGGCCAGATCTGCCATTTTAACTGCTATTTCCTCCCCAAGTGTGATTTTAGTCAGTATAGCGGTCATTTTCGCCGCCTTTATTCCTTCGAGATTTTTCCAAAATCTTGCGGATTTATTGGTATAACACACGCCCCTAAGATATTTGGATGATTTGATTTTCAAGAACATCACATATTTTTTTAATATTTATATTTTATTTTTTCAAGAAGTTTATTGGATTACCTTTTAGTGGCGGAATAGAAGGCCAAGAAACTTTATTAGGACATAATTTATTCTCCACCCTTGCGGACTGTTGCTAACATTGTTTCTGTTACTTTTGAGCCTAAGGGGATAGCTTTGTGTTTCTTTACTCACAATTTCGCCTGTTGTTCCCACTTTAGTTGCATTTATCCTTTTTTTTTTGTTTCTTCCCTATACTTAAACCCACCACTTTCATCCTCTTTTCCTCAATGTGTTCTCTAAATTTGCTCCAAAGTCGTAGCCTCCACAATGCGAGAACCCTCATTCTTCTTCTTTAAAGTCTTGAAAATTACTTTTGTGAACAAAACATTTTCAGTCATCATCTGCTCTTCAACGGATTTGAACATCTATTTTTCTTCCTCTGGACCACCTTCCAAATGTGAAAAATATATTCATAATTTGTTTGCCACCCAACGGATTTAGTAATATGTTATTCAGTTCTTCATCTTGATATGACAGGTTCTGCAGCCGGTCTTTCCATTTGCTGAGGAACTTGAGGTCGTCAATCATCGCATTCTTCCATGAAATCTGGCCACAGACCAGCCTTCATGCATACCTTGAATCCCTGGGAGGGAGACGTTGCATGCCTCCCAGTTCTTGAAATCTTGCACTATCATTGACAAATATTACACGTTTGTAGAAAAATATATTATATCCAAAACATAGACCTCCATAAGTGGATCCACTTCTGCTTCTAGCGTTTCCACCTTGTCCCTATTCCAAAATAAAACTTTCTGGTGGAGTGTGGAAGGCACACACTTTAATGTGTGTATCCGGTCATGACCCAGGGTGATGGAATACTCTGGCTTTCTTTAAATCAAGAAGAACACCATCCGGTCTTTTTTGTTCCTAACGGTGACATCTGCCACCACCACTCTAGTGGCCTTATGGGCTTTGCCTGTAAAATCTATTTTTCTCATGGCCGTTGGAATCAACTCGTTCTTGGTCATTTTAGTCATTTTTAGCGTAGCTAACATCATGATGTTTATGGGAGATCCGTCGATTAACATCTTACTCATTGACCGCCTGTTCGGGAAAATTGTGAAGAAGAGCAGCTTCAGGTGCCGGGTTGCTTCCTCAGTAGGTTTTTTGGAAACAATATCCTCCTGCCTAATTCCCATTGGGTCCTCTACATCATCAACCCAAAAAATAAAGCTCGAGTCATTTATCATCACGTCACCATGTATAAATTCTGGCAGAGTAGGTGGTGCACTGAACTCCTTTTGGTAGAACTCCAATTATATTGACTGCAAAGTCTCTATGATAGTTCACACTCTCTCCATATCTTCATCGGTCACCACGATTGTGAAGTTGGCCTCGGATTCATCACTTTTCTCTAGGAGTGTATCCCCTATCGGATCATCTGACTGATCTTTAGGTAAGTTGCTGCCAGAGGAAATTTCTGATGTTTTTCTTCTAGGTTCTCCAAGAATGATGTCTCCCTCTAGAATGCGTTTAGGGCATCATTCATGTCTCATCCGCAAGTGGTTCCGCAAACCCCTTTGTGACAAACTGTTGTGATTTCCGCTAGGATCCTCAAGTGTTGTCTTGTTACCAACATTCCTCCGTTGAATGGCTTCCTGTTTTGGCTGATGCTAATGGTGTATCAGCTTCTGCATCATGGTTAAGGGTTTCTGTTGACTTTTCCACTGGTTCACTACCCATTTGCTATCTCTGGAAGCTGTTCTTGATGATGTGTGACCTGCGGATTGATTACCGTCTGGTCCATTGAAGTAACTCTCTAGACTCTGTCATTCTTGTAGAAACTAACTTCCGACACTGTATTGTGTGGTGAAAGTTTATCCAAAATAGAAATCTGTTGTGGCAGTCTAGTGACCTGCCCGATCCTTGTGAGTGTGACCTTAAAAGGTAGCTTTCAATCTTCCTATAGTATGGGTAGTGTGGCCTTCCAAGATGGCTTCAAATCTTCATGCAATATTGGTAAGACTGGTGCTTGATTTGGTTCAGCTGCATTCCGACGATATTGATAAATGTTAGCGAATGATTCATATCAAGCTTCTTGGCCAGCTAGAGGCAGCCTTTTTGCACATTGAGTGAATAAGAACTTTTTTTTTTTTTTTATCCGAACTAATATGAGGGACTGTAGGACACCTCTGCCCCCCAACATCTTTGACTTTGTGAAGGTTCTTTACACCATTAACAACTTAGGGAAGAAATGTCTCCCAAGTTGCTTTTTCTGGTGATCCTCCGGAACTTCCAGTGTTGCTAAGCCACCAGTTACTAGAAGAAGTATCTTTTGGAACCCATTTTCTGAAGTGATAGTTTGTGGCGGAATTTCACTTTACATGAGGTTCCTGCACTTTCAATTTAGAGAAAAGAAGCGGCTCTTTTTGGAAAGCCTGTCTGATATCAATGAATTCAAAAGAATCCGGCGAAAGTTGAAAAGATAATGACTTACTTTAGGAAATGCATGATTGAATGCCTTTCGGTATTCTCACATCCCGTAGAATAGAATGGTTCTCTCAAATTTGGTCTGGAACAGCTTGTTGGCATGGAGGCTTTGCAAATATTTTGAGAGCATTAATGCAGCTTTTTAAATCATTTTCTTTAATACATTCAGATCTATTGGAGGATTCATTGGCATATTTTACTGCTGCCTTTGTGATTGATTTGCCATTGGCGGAACTTGTTGGTTCCTTGTGATTGATTTGCCATTGGCAGAACTTGTTGAACCATTTCAACAATAGGGTGTTCTTCTACAAATGAAAACCCTTGAAGACCATATCCGCCACCTACTGGAAGTGGCAGAATCTAATTCATTGCTCCTCTTATGGGTGGCCTTGATTATGACCCTTCTTGGATGGCCACGAGTGGCACTGCAGTATGCCAATTTGTGATAATCGGCCGTTCCATTTGAATCCGCAGAAGTATATTTGAGCTGATATTTTCGAATGCATATTGTGGCGGTGCATACAAGACTATTTTGTTTGTTCTATTGTCCATAGTCACCTATCTCCCAGTTGATAGGTTAATCGGCGGGATATGGGCGTACAAACCCGTAATCCGACCCGAACCCGGCCAGGTTTAAAATTAAAATTCACAACCCGCCCCAAAACATATTATTTAGACTTGAACCCGCCCCATTAAGAGCGGAGCTAAGGCGGGTCCGGGGCTAACCCACCCCATTTGACATCCTTAGACGGCAGCAGTCGCGGTTGAAGAAACGGAAAGAGAAATTAGGGATTTAGGGTTGGGGCAAACTTCTAATTGAGTTTTATGTTTAAAATTATTTAAATAAATATATTTTATTATATAAATATACATATATTAGTTATAATAATTTTAAAAACTTACTTGGGCAAACAAGTAATTGAGTTATATGTTTAAAATTATTTAAATAAATAAATAATATATGTTTATTATATAAATAAACATATATTAGTTATAATAATTTAAAAAATATCCGGGTCCGGGTCTTGGTTTGGGTGGGTTTTCAATAAAACTCGTAACCCGCCTCGAACCCGGCTTGGTTTAAAATTTAAAATCCACAACCGGCTCCAAAACATATTATTTAGACCCGATTTCGCCCCATGAAGAGCGGGTTCGGGGCTAACTCACTCTATTTGACATCTATCCAAAACCGTTCATGTGAATATCATGCTTAAATTGACTAATACAAATGAAAATTTCATATTTAGCATATTATTGTCTGAAATATTGTTACTTAATCAATTTGAAGATAATATGTAAAATTAAGTTTAAAGAATATAACATATGTAAATATGTCCAAGAGGAAACAAAATAATAGAAATAACAAAATTACATTTAAGATAATTCAAAAGATAATCATAATCTCAGCTGGATGCAATGTAGGTCACCGTTTACATACGATACATGCATCATCCCTATATGCGACTTACATCATTTATCTATAATGTATACATTATATTTATTTAAGTTATATATTATACATATAAACATAGTGAAAAATATATCTAATATAATCCATCATTTATAACAATAATAATAAACTTCTTCCGTCAATGATGAAAGGGTCCTATCACAACCATATGGAAGACCGTAAACCCTACCAAAATTTTCATCCGTCAAAATCCATTCCTTCTCATTCAAAAATACAAAACAATTAAGGTTGAAATCCCAACAACTTCAAAATTGGATCGACACTCATGGGCATGAGATTGACAAACAAAAGTCCCCTAAAGCATGTACCTCTAATGAAATACTTTGCGAGTCTCCACTTGGCCGAAACAGCTTCTCATTATTGAAATTCGCTACCTTCCTCGGCACACAAGGGACTTGAATGTGCTTCCTTCTCTTTATTTTGGATTTAATTGATGACTTGGGATCTCTCTTCGTTGATTCTGTCGTTGGAAGATCGATTTCACTAGAGATGTAGATGGAAGCGAGGTCAACGGCGTGAGGGCATCAACTACGACGGGCATCGCTCGCGTGTCCGACAGTAGCGGGCACGGGTAACGACGTCGTTGGCGGCGATTGTGAATGGTGGGTGGGCGATATTAAAATATATTGTTTATTGTTACCTCATTTAAAAAATTGTTTGATCATAATCTAAGACTTCAAATAACATATATACATATTTTTTGTGTATCAATTGTATGTATTTTATAGTAAAAGAAGAACTATTGAATTAACTTTATTAAGAAATATAAGAAATGTTTACATAAAGAATATTCTATAAATACACCATTAAAATAAGGGATATTAGTTTTTGTTTTTCAAAAATTACTTGATGTGAAATTTGATTAATTAGCAAATCTTATATTTTAGAAAATACAAAGTAAATTTATCTTATTATAGTGAATAATCTGCGAGCTAAAAATATGTATCACGATGTGTTTATTTGAACATCCTTCCAGTAAACCATACACGGAGGATATTTAATGACCAACATCATATTAATGTTATAAAGATATTACCTGCAACAATTGTATACATAATTGCATTTTGTATATATACGATTTTTAAAAATAGTTAATTGCAGACGTTTTTAATTTTGAGTAAGATTACGTTGTCAAATATTTCAAAGGTAGTTAACATAATTAATTTTTACTTAATTAAGGATCATTTAATTTATATTTTTTCCGAAATACCCAAAACACCCTCGATTAACATAAGTGTTGGATTAACAATAAAAATGATCGAACGAGCCAACAAAAATTCAGAATAATCCTAATCTTTTTATAATATTGGGACCATACCAGTTCCCAAACACACACATATATATATATATATAGTTCTGTGAAGTAGCCAAAGATAGAACGTAACTAACACAAGTAAATATATTTAGACAAGTTGTAGTAGCCATATATGATATATCCGCTCAAAGTGAAGCCAATTTGCCTAATCCTCAAGCTCTACAATCTTCACGACTGATGCATCCCCAACTTTCTGGAAAACCACGACACGATCGTGTTGTTTTATAAAGCCCGAGGCCCGCCCATAATCCAAAGCAACTCTTAATGCCGGTTCATTTATTGCGCTCATCAATTCCAGCTGGAATTTAATTAATTAAATCGTTAGCATTAGTACATATATATATATATATCAGATCGGATCCTCCGTCCCATTAACACACTCTATCCCCTTATCTCACACACATAATGTGTATATATATAATACATACACACGTGTATGTATATATACACATTATGTATGTAGGAATAGGGGGATAGGTTTTATTTATGGGACAGAAGATCCCATGGGATATATGTATATATTATATGTACAACAACTTCAAGAAAGTGTGCGAAGAGTAAATTGTATATGCATAGAACTCCTATGTTGCAAACGGAGCACATATACCATTTTGGTTAACACAAGGTGAATTGCTTAATATAAATTTACACGAGGTATTTAGGACTATCTCCGTCCGATTCTAAGGATCTTATTTACTTTTTGCGTGTTGATATTTGAATATTAATTATTATATAAAAACGTAGTACAAATTAAGGAAAAATAACAAAAATACTTCCATTAGTGTCTTATAATACTATTATAATGATATTTGTACAAATATAAGAATATTTTTAACATTAAGTACGATGACGCAAAAGGTAAATGAGACCTTAGAGCCAGACAGAAAGAGTATTAGAATACATATCAATATGTTAGTATGTATAATTTACCCGTGTGTGAATGCATTTATAAATGCGATATAAGTAATGTTTTTGTCATGTAATAAAGTTGAAAGCTGAAATACATTTATAAATGCGATATAAGTAATGTTTTTGTCATGTAATAAAGTTGAAAGCTGAAATACACGGAAAAAAACAATAAAAATGGGATGATTGTCCGAAAACGCAGCTAAATTTGAACCTTTCAAAGCATATCTTTTGTAGGACATTAATTATTTGAAAAATAAAAATACAAGACATTGCATATTACCTCCCTAAAAGGATGTCATTTGCATATTGTAATAAATTCAGATAGTTATTTGAATATTTGTTTTTATAGAGGTATTCTTATCGAAGACTCTAATTTCACTCCAACCTAATTCGTGTTTAAACTACCCTAAACATTCAACAAAGTGACTAAATTTAAACATTTAGCCTAAGAGGTTGATCGATTTATATCAAAGAAATCCATAAACTAGACATCTATTCACATGCAAAAGTAATCCTCTCGAATAATTTTGATTCTTTATCATCAAAATTTATCATCTTACCGGCTTCCTAGGATCTGCGAGTATGGGAAAAATTCCTCGGACTATTAGGGACTGCCTAGCCTGAGAATATTTGTCGAACGAAACAAACAAGTTGGCCTCGATAAAAAACTTGCAAACACACAAACATATAACAATGCCGAACATATATATATATATATGTATATAATACCTCAAAGCCACCACTAAATGTCCAGCGGAGCTGATTCGTCTTCAGCTTTGGAATGAAGACAGATAATACTGGCATTGTTGGTTTATACTTAGCTATTAATCTGTGCCATTTTCAAAGGTAAAAATTGGGCAGGACAAAAAATCGACAAGGTCCAGAGTTAGTATGATAAAGAGAAGAATAGAACAGGACCTCGCTGCTCTTCCAGAAGAAGTGAAACATATAATGACCGATGCACTCACTTTGATGGCAGCACGAACCTACGTTACATTGATCATAAAAAAAAAACAGAAATGATGAGAAACAGTAAAATAAATAAATAACCAAAGTGAAGATCGAGGTGCTCGTAGCTACTGCTGAAGAAGCTAGAGATTCTAGATGAGCCAATGGTGGTTCGGCCGCGTCCTTGAAAATCTTCTTGAAATAAAGATCATGATTGTACACCTTTTCTGCCTGCAAATTCGAAAAACGAAAATAAGATTGATTACAAAGGTGTGCACACATACATGTCTGTCTGTCCGTTTACAGTTTTACCTCAGCACAGATTTTACCAACAGTTGAGATGGTCTCGACTGGATTTGATCCACGGAGAGTTTCTGCACCTAAGAGAATTGCGTCGCACCCTAAACAATGGCTTTTGATTAGCTATAGAACGATCAAAAGTAAGGCTTAGAATTAAAAACTGACATTGCATATACCATCAAGTACAGCATTAGCAACATCAGTAGCCTCGGCACGAGTCGGCCTTAAGTTGTCGGTCATGCTATCAACAACACGAGTAATCACTGCAGGCTTCCCAGCCACATTGCATTTGTATATGGCTTCTTTTTGATATAAAAACACCTGTGGAACATCACTCCAAAATCAATCAATACTAGAGATTATTATTATACTCAGGCCGGTCCTCACTTTCGAAGGCCCAAGGCGAAAAAAAAAAAATAAATAAATAAATATGAGCCCCTAAATATATATAAATAATATATTTTTATTTATAATAAAATATAAATAATTAAATAAAATGATTTTCTAGGATTTTTAAAGAAAAAATAGTATAAAAAAATATTTCTAAATGTTTGAGACATATAGGACTCAATATTAAAAATTAATCTCTATACCACCAACTACAAACTTTTTTTATTCATATATATCAAATAAATTATATATATATAAACTGCAACACACAGGTAGCTAGCAAATACCACACGGTAATGCTAATGACAGCACATCATTTATATTAATCATAGCACATGAACTAACATCACACAGATAAATAGAAAAATCACACAGTAATGTTAGTGACAACACATCATTTATATTCATATAACACATGGCATACACTTGTACAATACACTTGTAATAATAACCAAACAACACATGTCATTGTTACAAACAGCACATATTTTAAATAAAGACTTGTATTGTTTTTGTATTTTATGGTACTGATTTTTCCAAATCATCACTGTAACCTTCCCCGTAAACTATACATATACTCCTATAACATAAATATATAATGGGCCTCCAGTTTACCGTGGGCCCTGGGCGGCCCTCTGGCCAGTGCCGGCCCTGACTATACTATACATATTCTTTCATCAAAGTCACTTCACCCAACTTTGAATTCTTTTTAATGACTGAAAATTAATCTTTTTGTGAGGTGCCTACCTTTTCTGGTGGGAGATCTATTCCGAGATTCCCACGAGCAAGAATTACGCCATCTGCTTCTTCAAGAATCTCATCAAGACGGATTAGTCCCTGCAAAGAAAAAGGCAGGAAGGTACACTGAAACCACTTTCATATAGTAACTATAGTAATGCATCTGAGTAGAATGTTAATATCCGACATACCTCCACATTCTCAATCTTGGCAAAAATTTGTGTCCGGTTGAGGTTGTTGCCCACTTTCGATAAAAATTCACGCGCCTGTTCACAAAGGACACATTAACCAAACACAAGTTGATTAGACATGGAGGTTGTTAATTTTTAACAAGTGAAAAGGGAGCAATGCTAGCTATCACATTAAACATGCTTGCCTGTCTAACATCATCGGCGCAGCGAGTGTAAGAAAGTGAAAGGAAGTCAATCTTGTTTTGAACCCCCCAAGTGCTTATAACCTAATAATAATGATAATACCAATATGAACAGAGATACACACCACACAAGTTACTGCTTAATATAAAAAAAAAGTATTCCCTCCGTCCGCATCTAAGCTTTTGCGTCATTGTACTTAACATTAAGACACTAATGAAAGTATTTTTGCAATTTTTTCTTAATTTGTACTACATTTTGATATAATAATTAATATTGAAAGATCAACACGCAAAAAGTAAATGAGACCCTTTGAGCCGGACGGAGGTAGTACTATATATATGTATATATTTAGTTATTACTTTGTAATGTTTATTGCTCACACAATTGACTATGCTTGAAGTTAAATGTTGTGCATACGCCATGCCAATATCAAGTACCTCCTTATCTTTATTGGTGAGAGTCGGGAGGTCAATGTGGATCCGAGAAATGTGTAGAGTGTACAATGCTCCGGACAATGTAGCAGAATTCTTGATCATACAAACAACATTTTCATCTTTCACCTCCGACACCTACATTGTCCAAACACCTAATTAAAATGCCATTGATGTGCATTTTTATCTTCACTTTGATGCGCATCCAAATACAAATCTAGACTAGAATACTCTGTAAGCATCTCTCTTCTATATTCAAAAGCTAATCATCGTACCTACTTTCGACCAAATTATCGGATCCGGAATTTATACACAATCACACCATGTCATTATTATCTTATTAGGTCATGCTAATAAATATAATTTGAATGAAATTTACCTCGAGCCAAACAGAAGTTGTCTCTCGTCCTGTGAACAAGTACTGACCAATGAAAATGTCATCGCCCTTTCTCACTGCCTACATAATAGTAAAACATTGTAAGATCTTAACATATTCTCGTTTATTATTATTGGTAAATTTATAATAATTAGACCAATACATTGACGGCATCGCCATTATGTCTACCTTGGACAATCCATTGAAATTAATCGGAAGTAAATCTGGAGTGGCTTCTTTATCTTGATCTGGTGTTAGTGTGACCAAAGAGCCTTCAGAAAGTGAAATAGGCCGCTCTGTTTTGTTGACAATCAGCAACTCCGGCCCACCTGTGTCGAGCATGACCTGGCAAATCGAAATGTTTGTGCTTTTTAGTATGACATCCGGACGTCGTAGTTGTTGTCTTATCATAGAGTGATGGAACATCTAGCTTACTGCACAGAGCTTTTTCGTGTTCTTGATGGACACCTTCAAGTTCTCCAAGGTTTCTTGGTGGAAATTTTGATCACCCCACGAGAAATCAAATCGTGCAACTACAGATGAAGACAATAGCTTGCTTTGAATACTTAAATCTATGTTGCAATGGCTTCCCTCCCTCTTCTTCATATAAAAATAATAAGGTAAAAAGTATGTGTCTCATTGATACAAATCTACAAATATAAATTGCTTCTCTTCTCTGAATATACTCCCTAATACTAACATTTTAGTTATCCTTTAGGGAAATAAAAAAATAAAACTGTTTCATCATTCATATCATATGCACATCATTAGTCAAGCTTTTGAGGAAAAACTATACACATATTATGTAAGTAACTATGTAAGATTATTACCAGACATCCCAGCATTAAGACAGCCTGAAATAACCTCCACAGACCTTGAATTAAGCCCCAATGTCCCCATAATTTTTGTCATTGCCGGGAAGAAATGCTGCATAATTAAAGAAACCAAATCCCGATCACAAACCAAAATGGATAAACAACACAAATTCATAAAAAGTACACGTACAATTGAAGATGAACAACAAGTAAAACTAACTCATATATACTTGTCGGCATTATTAGTAAAATTATTAATAACATACTCAGACACTCATTTACTTAAAACCTCAACCTCGAGCGAAAATCCCCCCAAGAAACAAAACAGCCCAAGGAAATTACAGAGCAAGAAAAACCCAAAATGGCTCTCCTGCTGTACACAAGACGATTTAAAGAAACTAGGAGGAGAGAGAGAGAGAGAGTTTACAGGTGTTGTGGAGGGCTCGAGAATGGAGGACATCCTCAAAGGTTCCTCGAGAAGTAAGTAATTAGACACCATTGTTGAGGTTGAGGTAGAGGTGAATGAGATTTGTGTAATTTGAGGAGAATGATGAATGAATCAGTCGAGGGAAGAGAAAATATGGGAGTGTCAGGCTGTGAGCAGCAGCTTATTTTGTCGTGTAGTGCAGACTGTTCGGTAATATTTCGTTCTTTGTTACCGGAACACCTACCAGTATGGGAGTATGTTGCTGGTGGGATATTATTATTATTATTATTATTATTATTATTATTATTATTTTGGTAGTTGGTTGTTGTCAGCTTTTTTGGGGTGTGTTAGAATTTTCATTTAATAAAATTTTGTAAATTCTTTGGACATTTTCATCGCACAACGTTATAAACGTGGATGGCGTATTTTTGTATTAAAAGCGATGCAGCGTGGTGTAGGTGAGACTCTCTTTTGTATTGTATTTTCTTTCTTCTCTCTTTCTCCATTCTCTTCTCCAAACCAAGCATTTTGCTGCCATAATTTTATCCTCTCTCCATCTTTTTTCCATTTCGATATTCTTCCTATGTTTGGTCGGTTCAAGTTTTGTGAAAATATTTTATTATATCCTTTTTACCGTCGTTCCATTGCAGGTAGTTAAAAGAAGTCGTCCAAATAGAAGTTATTTTTGAGCGGAGAATTTCATTGTTGTTTTTATTTTTTTGTTTTTTTAAAGAAGATGTTTGTGGCCTGGTATGCGTTTTATCTAGAGATTTTGCTCTAAATTATTTTGTAAAATTGGAATTTCTTGCTGCAAATGGCGATTTTTCTATTGGTAAGAGATAGCCAAAGTTGTTCGAAAGTAACATTAGCGGATCTATTTTGGAGGGCAAAAATGAAGGAAGAATTTGCTTCAGAGATCAGGAGAATAACCTTACCTCGATGGCATATAGGAGGATCTTCCCATAGGAAAAAAAAAAAAAAAACCTCGGAGGTGTTTCTCTCTATGCATGTTTTATAGGTTATACAAAGAGTGCTCATCTTATATTATATTGTCTGCACTAATTTATCACACAAATTCTTACTTTGGATTTGATACAATCATTGAATCTCCTCCCGGGATTGTACACCGTCCATGAAGTGCACAGTATAGACTTCATTCTAAAGTAGCATTCCACTCGTCAGGTGCAAGCGACGATGCTCCACCTTCGTATATCGACATGTTTCGAAATATATAATCGATACACCAAAACAACACTTAGTAATCTATAACTTCGCCAATATTGCAAGACTAATCACACTAAAAAATACAAGAGTTTAGTAAAAAAAAAAAATTCATTGGAACTACTATGATGCTTCTCCATTCTCTACTCGTGTAGTGTTGACGAAAAGATTCATGTTGGAAGAAAAATAATTTGATGTCTATCAGCCAAGGAAGCGGCGGTGAGAGGCCGCGGTGGATAAGATCGGTGATTTACGGATCGGTTGGGGAATTTAGGGTTCTTGGGAATTGATTGGGATGTATTATGGATCGATCACGGGAGGAATGGTTGTGGTAAATTTCTTGTTTATTGCAATTTGGCCTGATCCAAATTGGAATTTTTTTTAAAAAAAATTAATTTCAAGTTTTTATTTTTTTTAAAATTTTTGCACATCACTTGCCACCTACATACCATTTCATCTAACATGTCAACACCAGCAGGGTATACGTCAGTAACGACATTTCTACGTTTGCACACGTAATCGGCACATGACATTTTTCAGCGCCCGAAGACATAAAAAAGGCTAACGGAAGAGATATTGTCCTACTTTAAAAAACTAAAAAATACATGTCTAAAAACGATAATTTGACCAACATATTGGATAATTTTTGCAATTTTCCCTGATAATTATGAATAACACCATAGCTACATAAACACTTTCCTCTTGAGTGTTTATAGAAGAGAAACTAGGGTTGAAGTTTTAAAGAAAATAGAAGAAAAGGAAAATAGAATTTCGATTAAAAATAAATAAATAAATCTACGTAAGTGAGGTAATAGTGATATGTTTAAATTAAATTGGATTTAATTATATTTTATTTGTAGTAGTATACTTTTCTAGTGGAAATGAATAAAAAATAATATATTGAAATATTTTTTTATATGTAGTAGTAATCCAAACATTCTTGGTTCAAACTCATTACAAATTTAATTTGAAAATAACACAATTATTTTTTAAAATAAAAATTGGATATCCGAACTATCCAAAATAAAAAGCTTGGAGCAACTCAAGAGGATCAAAATGAACATCTAAAAGCAGCTCCAGATTATCAACACATAACTGGCAATACGAGTGGGCCACTGGTTTGTTAAAATTTATATTATTTATACAATTTAATATTTGTAATTGATAACATTATGATTGTACTATATGTTTGCACAATTTCATATGTTAGATTGCTTTATATTTAGGTGTTGTAAACTTGTTATATATTACTCCATTTGTCTCTTATCTATTTATCCATCGGTTTTTTCACAAAGTTTTAGGAATATTAGTATTATATTGGAGTGTGGTATGAATAAAATAGAAAAGACTAAAATAATCTTATTAGTATTGTGTGATATAAAGGTAATGATATTTGTGTAATATATCGTAAATTGTAATGGTATTTTTAATGTTAGTAGAAAGTACAATTAATAAAAAAAAAATAGATAGATTGTTAATGGACGGATGGAATATTCATAGTGGATTATTAATTGATTCAGTAAAAATGTCTATTAATAATTTAAAATTTAATTTCGAATTCAGATTTTGTTTAACATAGGTATTGGTAAATGTGCAATGTCAAAATTTTAGGGGATAAGTGAGCATTTTAGCAATGGAATAAGAAACAAGGACCTTAGAATTTCGTCCCTAATCCTATCGCTACAATTACGGATGGAATTGAGAACGAAAAAATTGTCACTAATATAGAACGACAATATTTCGATCCAAATTAGCAACGGAATATTCCATTACTAATTTTGTCACTAATTTCACGTGACGGAATTTTGGACGCCGAGTTATAGCGATGGGTTATTTACGGACATAATATATTCCGTCCGTAATTCCATCGCAAATTAGTTTACGGATGAAAAAAATAGGGATTAACAACGAAAATATTTCATAACTAATTGACTTTTTTATAGTGATTTTGATCAACTTGGGATTTTCCTCAAATGTTATTTTTGGTCTAACACATGACTCACTATTTCTTTCGTTGAGCCGACATCCATCCTCTTTGGACTTTGTTATTCTTGGTTTATCCCCCTCTTGTATATTTTTTTTTTTGTTTGATTTTATAAATTCGTCAATCTCCCAATGATCCATCCGATCTTGCTTCATTTGTGAATCTTCCAAAATCAAGGGGATTTTCTTAGTAGAAAAATATATTTAGTTAAAAATCCGATTTAGATTCAATTATTTTGTAAAATTTTCAAACTACTATGAAAAGAAAAGTATAATCACATAAATCTAAAAATAATAAGATATTGCTCAAGATTCAAATTATAAAAAACTCAAATCATTATTATTAGGCTAAATTGTATAAAATCCACTCGTGATTTCATGAAATTGCATAAAATCCTCCATACTTCTAAAACTGCGTCAAACTTCCTCATGGTTTCATAAACTTTGCGTCTAACCCCCTCAGTAGTCCTTATTTAACGGTATTTGGCCTAAATGCGCTCAAATTGCAAATAACTTTTAGAATATTAATTTATGAACCCCTAAAATTACAAATATATTTATTTTTTTTATATTTTTTTAGAAATATAGGGGATTTGGTGCAATTTCATAAAACCACCGATGAATTTTATGCAATTTAGCCTTATTATTATATGTGTGGCATCCACTATCTTGGAATTTTTTCGATTTGTTTATTTTTCTTAAAAAATGTGTGGCCCATACACTATTCTATATTACTACTATATTATAATCAATTCAATTATATTCTACAATTATTTACAACTAAAAAAATACCAAATTTTAAATTCTAAAAATAAACACAATTGACTTAAATTAAGAGGCAAGCAAAGTTAAATTTCTTCGACAAACTCTCAATAAATTATGTTTTATTGTTAAAAAAGTGTCAAGTGTCAAGAAAGTACTATATTATTTTTAAATAAAATCTTATAACATAACACTATATATTATTAATAATAATAATAAAAAACATATGAATATAAAAATAAATATCCAATCCAAAAATAGACAAACCATATGAGCACCTACATCGGTCAATATCCTACTAGGGAGAAATTTTTTTCTCTTTCCACCGTGACAACCATATCATATTTTTATTTTAAAAAAAAAAATCAAAAAGTTGTTCTTTTATATTTTTGTATATTTTTTAATAATCCCTATGTCGTCGGAAGAAGAGTTGCATTTGGTTTTTGCACATAATTATTTTAATATTATTATTATATTAATTTGTAGTAAAAATGATAAAAAATATTTTTATTAATATTATATTGTATGAAAGTAATAACATTTGTATAATATATTGTAAGTTGTAAAATTATTTATTATATTAGATAGATAGTACAAATTAAACTATGAAATAGTAACCTTGTTTCGGTATGAAAAAAAATAGAAAATAATATCATTCTCATGGGACAAGGGAGTATACTATTTATTTATTATATTTTTGTATTATATAAAATTTTATTTTTATATATATTGATATACTTTTATTTAAATTTATTTTTTTAAAAAAATTAATAATTATGATATAAATATAAATATATATGTCATTTTTTTATTGAAATGGACAAAAGTAATAATGATATTGAGGTAAGAAAAATTGATGCTTGGGGGTTTTGGATTTTGGATTGAGATTTAAATAGTAAAAAAATTGAATTTGAATAGTTGTATGATGTGATACAAATATGAATTGGTGTAATATTTTGAATGTAAAATTGATTTTTAGTATAATATAAAAAATAAAAAATAAATGTTTGATTTAATATTTTTGAAGAGAAAAATTTGTATAAATAGTAGAAATTCACACAAATCCTTCAAACAAACACACCCCGATTCTTTAGTGGAGGTGCTCTAATAATCATCTACTTTTACACTTTTTTTTTTTTTTTTTTTTTCTGTTTACCTTTTGCAAGCAAAAAAAAAAAAAAATCAATAAATGAAAAAAATCTAAAGTCGTGAGGAAAAATTAATATTCCCTCTGTTTCTTCAT